TTTATGGTTATGCATTTCCACCAAAGTAAGTTGTATGTCCTCGGTTTACATAAAAAAATCAATTATGTCATCATTATATATATTTTACTTTGTAATTAATCATATCTTATTAGAACATACTTTGAAACGAAGCAAGTATTCTGCTTATCATTAACTTTCATCCATTAGTGATTCTTACCTGAGTCACCACTGATGGTTGAGATGATTTTCAAGTTTTATTCTTTCTTTTATAAGGAAGAGCTTTCCCTTCATATTTACTTATGTAGCAGTTAGTTATTGCCAGCGTGAACTATTTACTGGGTTATAATCTGTTACTATTATATGTTTTGAAGCTTTAATTGTCCCGGATTTGGCCAGTGGAAGTCCCTTCAAGATGGCCCCATTATTCCTGTGACAGTTTTGAGTGCTGCTTTATTTTCTGGCCCAAATTCTTCCAGGCTCACATGGTTCTTTCCCTACCCCAGCTCTGGCAGCAGCTGGTTCTCCAGGGGTTCTGGTTCCTTATGGTGGAGAATGGGTTTTAGAATCAAAGGTCTGCGCACAGTCTGTTCTTGTAGGTATGGGTGTCATTGCTCAGTGATTCCATTTCTAAGTACTTAGAAATTCAGATTCCTGAATTTAGATCATAAAACTTAACACTTGCATATGTGAACAAAGATGCATATTCAAGGTCATGCTTCTCATCACCTTCATTTCTTCCAAACGAGACCAGAGCTGTGTGTTCTCTTGCCTTCTCTGTATTTCCACGAGATCCCTCGAGTCTCTTCCCCAGAACAACCAAAACAATCGGACCATGTGGCCCTCCAGACACTAAGAATCCGAACAGTAAAACCCCAAGTCCTCCACGACTTCGAGACCCCACACGACCTGGCTTCATCTCTGGTTTCATCTGCTACCACCTATCCCTTCATTCACAGGACACAGACACTCCAAACCCAGGATCTCTGTGCCTGCTTTTCTCCCCCAGGTATTTAAATGGATTGAAAGGCCTTCATCCTGGTCTCTGTCCACCTCTTGAGAGATGCCTCTTCTATCCCATCTAAATAGTGTAGGTTGCAGATAAAGCTAACTCCTGACGACCGGATATATAATAGAACGAATACTACCCTGTCCTGTGCCATCTCCCAGCACTCTACCAGACAATATTATGCTGTTCTCTATAAGACTGTCATTGGCTAATTTTCAAAGCATATCCCTAAGCCTTTTTTCTTAGTCTTTTTGTTTGGACCCCGCTGATATTTGAAATAGCTTACCAATCAAAGCGGCACAGAAGCTACCAAGGCACTGTGACAAACTGTCAGCTAGGTGGTGGATCTACTTAGAATCCCACTGTGACATCACTGTCTGATGTTATATATTCACCTCTGTGCTTGTCAGTCTCCTCTACTGAAATGTAAGCTCCACGCAGCTTGCTTGGTTTTCTGCTGTAGCTCCGTACCTACAATACTACCCAGCTCTCCGATGGATGGCTGTTGAATAAGTGAAGATAACTTTCTCTCCTTGTGACTTTGGCCTAGAGTCTCTCCTCGCTGTCCTCATTGCACGGTTAATAGATTCATAATCTCTAGATTTTAAATGTTACTTCTACAGAGAAACCTTCCCTGATTACCATATTCTTAAATTCTACCACCCCACCCCCATCTCTCTCAGCCTTTCATTCCTGCAATAACAACGCTTGTAACAACTCCCTTTATCTATTTGCCAGTTGCCCCATGCCCAAGTCTTCTAAGCCCCATGAAGGCCTGTCTCCTTTACTATTGTGTCCCTAGGGTTTAGAAAAGTTCCTAAAATAACAGGCACTTAAGAAATTTAGGAGTCTTGGTGATGTAGTGGTGAAAGAACTTGGCTGCTAGCTGACCAGTTGGCAGTTGCAGCCCACCAGCTGCTCCCGGAAGAGAAAGATGGGGCAATCGGCTTCTGCAAATATTACAGTCTTGGAAATCCTACGGGCAGTACTCCGCCCGTCTCACAAGGGCTTTTTGAGTCAGAATTGATTCATTGACACTGGATTAGGGTTTTAGTTAGACTTTTGTTAGATTTTTTCCCCTTGAGTACGAAGTAAGCTTATTATAGCTCAATCTATGATCAGAAAGTTAATTCTCAAGACTTCAAATATGTAGGTAACATAACATTTGCCATCTCAACAACTTTTAGTAGCTCAAAATTGGTCACCCAAATGGCATGAAACAATGGGTAGCTGTTAATGAATGAAGCTGCTCTATGTATGCACACTGGCACAAAATGAGTCTCTGGTATAGTCAGTATAAAATGCTACAGGCAGAGCAGTGCAAGACCTTTATGCAATTAATACTGTGTACATAGAAAACGGGGAAAATAACAGATTGAATACCAGTGATCATTTTCAGGTTAGGGGAGTTAGTAAAGACTTTAACTTAAAAAAATAAAGACTTTATTATATATCTACCACAGACTTTAAATAAACACTAACATTTGAATTCTTGGTACGTCAGGCACCGTCATTCACTCATAAACTCGACCTCATGGGCTCACCTCTTTGACCAACGAAGACAACGAAGCTCAGGGAGCCCAAAGAAAACGTCAGAGCCAGCGCTAAACCTAGAAGTACCCCTTCTCTAACCACCCCTGCCATACTTCACCAATAGTTCATGCCCTCAATCTGGGTGGTGGGCTACAGGAGCAAGGAAGGCTAGAAGCGGGTGTCAGCCTGTCCACTGGAGGAGAGCTGGGGAAGAGGGAACCAGGCCCTGCTGGGCCAGGGCCACACCTCTGGAGACCAGCTGTCTTCTGGCCACCCTTCTAGTGGGAGGTGAGGCTCCCGTGACAAATTTGAAAAGACTCACACATAGATGATCTCATTTATTTTTCATGACAAGCAGGTGGATCACTGGCTCTGAGCTTGGGAAGCTTGGCTGGGGGTAGAGAGGAAGAAATGGAAAGTTAGGACTAGGGGAGGGGGTTCTGGGGAGAACAAAGTGCAGGGGGAGAGAATTGGGCTAAGCAAGGATTCCGGTCCACATGCAGCCTTTCAAAGCCAGTCTGGATGGAAAGGAACCAAACACCCAGACGACTGCCCGTCCATCCCTTCTCGCCTTTCTCCCATCATCC